TCACACCCCCATCCCTAGAGTCTGCATTATTGTTTGCCACTTGGCCTTAAACATTTTATCAATTTGTTTTTCTTGGTCGCCCATGCTATTTCAATATGACATGGCATTTTATTTTTCCATTGTGTTAATGATTGATTGATTTCCACATTTTTTGTATATGTTTTTTCAAGATGAGCGATGAGAAGAGAAGAGAATTGTCCAGCCCATTGGATATCTCACTACACCCCCATATGCCATGTCTTGAAATTATGCAGACAGATGGATTAAAATAACATTTACTAATACTTCTGACAGCCAACTTTCTAGCTCCGCCCACAATTTCCGGACTTCATAGCATTCCCAGAAAGCATGGATTATTGAGTCATTATTAGTTTCACCCTTGTAAAAACTATTGGTCGCTAAATCCGATGAAATTACGGACCATGTAAAAACTATTGGTCAATAAATCAGGCTAGAAGGACCACATAAAAACTGTTGGCTGGTATACCCTCACCCCCTCTGAGCGGTCGCTGTGAATGGCCTCACCCTCTATATAAATTATAGCTAATTGGTTTGGTTCTGCCCTCTATAGTGCTGTCCGGTTAGAACATGATGTTGAGGCCCATCACTGTGCTCTTGATAGTCACCACCACACACACACACACACAGATGTTTCCTTTGAAGATGTTTATATGATTTTAGTAATCCGAATGATTTAGAATCTTATTGTTGTGGTTTTTTCGATGCACGCACAACATTCAGACATCCGTGTTACTGTCGACAATAAAAAGTCCTCAAAACATGCGCCTTCTCGATAACACTCTTGACCTGAGTGGGCGGGTGCAGTGTCCAGATGGGGATTTTCCAAGCACTCTGATTGGTTGGGAATGGCAGGACTGTGCTGGGTGAGGGATAATTAAGGTATGCTGAGAAAACAAACTAACGGGATTTAAGGGAAACTGAAGGGACTCTGAGGGAAGCTAGGTAGAGAGGAGAGGAGCAGGACGGCCTTTTTTTTACAACGCTTAAGACATGACTCTGCCTTTGTGCTGTAGAATTTGTTAATTTGGTCTCTTGTATAATAAATTATATACATTAGTTTATACTGGATTAAGCGTACATTTTTGTGATTTCGTTAGTTATGCTCCAATTTACCCGCCATCTTGTGCCAACATCAGTTCTTTTTCAATCTTGGTTCCAATAGTTAACTTTTTTTTGTAAGAGGTTGTCAGTCGGATATGCTCTCTGCAAGGTTTTGTATATCTTCCCTATCATATGAACATCGTTTTCTGACTCAAATAAGATTACCTCAAAGTTGCTCTGATGTACAACATATTTCAAATCGAAATGTCGTGACATGTAACTTTTAAGTTGCATGTATTTGAAACGATCTACATTGGTCAGTCCAAAATTAAAGTTGAATTCTGTCATGGAAAAACATGTATTTCCTGTTATCAAGTCATTTACGGTTTCTATGCCTTTTGTTTTCGATGTGGACAGTTTATCGGTGAATTCTGAAAGGCTATCCAAGGATTGTTCCATAAGGTTCTGTTTTTAGGGAGTGATAATCAACGTTTTCCATTGATAGCCTATATGAATAAAGGGTATATGTGAGCAATAACTTGTCATATACTGAAATTGTTGGTCATAGGTTAAAATCCCTATTGGAAAAATGAATGGGATGTAGGGATGAAAGAACGAGTGATAACACAGAAAGCTACCATTGCTGCACTGCTATCACACATTTTCCAACTCTAGGTAGGGACATAGACCTTCAGAAAAATCACTATGAGACATTGTCACCCCAGATGAGACAGACGGCCTAAATTTGGGGGTCTGGCTCATGGACTAACTACTTTTGATGTCTGAAAACATCTGGCAAACGTTTATGCATTAGTGAAATATCACTTTAAAGGGGGAATCAGTAGTAGAAACAATAACAAAGCGTACTCCCTGCCCCTGTTTCGGTAAAAAAAAAAAAACTGAGGGAGGGGCTGGAAAAATGTACATGACGGGTTTCGATTAATGCCCCGGGTGAACCGGGTTTGCGTTACTTTTGGGATCGGGCTGCCTCCCGGGCGAAGTCGGCTCAAAACAAAAGTGACGTGGGTTAAGCACGTGGAGTAATATGTAGGATGCTGTGTTTTCACATGCAAAAGTGATTGCTTTATATAAAAATGCTTTATCTGCCTTTCACAATGAAAACTAATTTGAAAATTCTAACATATATTTTATGGAAAATAGATGATTCTGAAGGATGCACCATGCTGCACTGTAGACAATATGACAAAGCAGCGCATATTACCATTCGATTCGAACAGGGCGTGCCTCCCTCATCAGCTACGCCCGGTCACGTGACAGGCCATAGCCCGGTTTAACCCGGGGAAGCTTAATCGAATCCCTTCATTGTTTGAGGCTAAATAGTTAGTGTTTGTTTACAAACATTGGAGTAAATTGACAGTTGAACAAAGCTCATGAGGCATTTATAAGTTATATTTCAAGAAGCAAATGGGTAGGCCTATATATAACTAATATATAAGTCCAAAAATGGATGTAGCAACTGCTGACTGCCCCCGTAGCTCTAAACCCAGAGGCGCGAGACTTCTGTGAACGCTTGCGTAAACAGACCAAACAGATCAGGCCGGGGGTTTGTGGTTTGAGAAGTCAGTATAAGAAGTGACACATTCTTCCTTAGTTGTTAATTTTATCGAAATCTAAAGGCACAACCTAGATTCGAGCCAATGTCTTAAGTAGTTGAACATGTTATTACTCTAACCTTGTGAACGTGACAAAAAACGGACACGTTCTCATTTTCGTCAAAATCAACTTTATATCGAGGGAGTGCTGTTGAGTTGACGGCTTGCACATGCGCAGTTCGGCGCGAGACAACCGTGAGACCCGATGACGTATTTCTACGCATGCGCTAATGCAGCGTTCAAAACAACTGAGAACTCGGAAATCTCCTACTTCAGTGTGTTCAACACAACTGGAAACTCTAGGGAAAAAACGAGCTCCGACTGGGAAAAATCTTTTAAACGGTCATCTATGAATTCCAAGTCCGGAACTCGGGCCTCTTTCTAAAGCTCCGACTTTCCGACCTGAAGATCACTATCGTCATGATTTTACCTTGTTTTTTTCTGAAAGCAGCATTAGCTAGCCAAAGTCTCCACGACATCGCCTATAAGTGTGATCGGGCATTTCTATTGGAGAAGCAGTTTTAGCTTTATACTCTACTGTCTTTGGTATGGAGTATGACTGACTTGAGCATCGCGGTAATTGGGCAACTTTAGCACATTTTGTTTTGCCTGAGTGAAGGAAATGCTGTACATTAAGATGACTCGATGTATTTTGAAAGGTGAGACGTTGATTAGCCAACAATAAATAGCCTACCTCTTTGATGTCAGCCAAATCTTTTTTTACCAGGTAAATTGACTGAGAACACATTCTCATTTACAGCATCATTTCCTAATTCTAAAGCTCATGTCAACGTTTATGGTCCTTATGTTTGACGTAGTTACAATATGACATGGCGTCATACCCTGGGTTGTGTTCTGAACAGAATGACAGTTTGTTTATTGTGAAGAAAATTCGCCGGACCACACGAACCTGAATGCACTCATAACTCCTTTCTATGCGCACCAAAATTACGATCCGTTTCTCGGAATTGCCTTGTGAAAGCCTAACACTGTAGTTCGTATTTTATAATTTAGCTAGTCATGTTGGCAATAGAACAAGCTTTCAAATTATGCCCACCGGACCCCGATTTCGATTAACAATGGAACTTTCTGGATTGCGTAAACAACACTAATTGTGTGATGGCGGGGTTGCAGGGTTATGTTTCAAATGTAACAACTAGCCTACAACTGTGCTTGCTCTAGTTCCTCAAAGGCACAGGTAGTAGGTAAAAAAAAAAAAAAGTGCCTTATAGTTGAAGACTTCTTTGATTCATAAAAGTGCATTGAACTTGCTTAGGTTAGGAACTGTGCACACTTCGGAGACACCAGTTAGTCCTCTCACTCAAACGCTTGTAATTGTGTTTTATGTTGCACCTACCCCACATTTTCCAGGAATATTGTTATGTTATTTCCGGCGAAAAGTAGAGTAAATGTAAAATGCATATCAAATCAACTGCGTAATGTTTGGATTAAGTCTTGTGTCAGGTGAACCGTTGTGTAGGCCTACTCACCTTTAGGCTAATAATTTCCCCATGATCTCCAAATTGTTCCCTTTCAATTGTTAGCATGGTTATGCATATGCTTTTCACACTTCTTCTGTAAGAAACATTCCAATTTGGCCCTATCCCGATAGGCCAATTCCCTAAATAAATATATCTGTAATTGAGATGAATCCCTTATTCCTGCTTGACAAGTCAGCTTTTTAAGACCCAATTACTGTTTTGAGTTCCCCCCTGGCCTGTTGGATGCATGGGATTTGGGTTTGGGAAGAGGCATTGGTTGGCCATTCCAGGGTTGCATCCCAAATGGCACTACTACCAGAGCTCTATAGGTCAAAAGTAGAGCACTATATAGGGAGCCATTTGGGAGACAACCTAGAGAGGAGAGTTGGGATGGAAACTGTCTAGAGGAATAACAAAAAATCCCAACCCAACTGCATCAGGACAGATTTATGACAAAGGCCCATAATCTTATAATAGTTTCTGCTCTGTTTCTTAACCGGATGTTTCTTTCATTATACTGTATGTCAGAGGGCAATAAAATGCTGGAGATTTCCCACAAAGCACCTTGTTTTATGTCCATGTCAGTCACTGTAAATTACCCACAAAGCACCTTGTTTTATGTCCAGGTCCTTAACTGTAAATTACCCAACAAAAAAATAGACTTCAATGCAAAAAAAAACACATTTAATCATATTCAGAGACTCATTTTTCCAGTCTGTTGATACATGGATAGTCAGGTTTCACCAGCCTTATCAACATGACAGTGTCCGTCCCAAATGGCACCCTATTCCCTATGTAGTGCACATCTTTTGACAAGGGCTCTGGTCAAAAGTAGTGCACTATTTAGGGAATAGGGTGCCATTTGGCACGCATACACAGCTGTTGCTCCATAGGTGGATACTCACTGCAGCCAGGGCACATACTGTAGAATAGATGGTTCACTTAAATGTGTGTGTGAGAACATGAGGCCTTCATTCGAAACACAAGAAAAGCAACCTGTACAAATACTGAGTAAAGGAATCCTACAAGAGTGGTGTAAACACATATACATATTCACAAATATTCCATAATCAGCATAATCAATAGTCCAATCTCTTATCAACAATACTTGTCTCTTTGCCTTGAAAACCACACAGTTGCCTGCCCAAAGCATTTGCATGTTATAAAAATTACTATTAATAATAATCATTACAGTAATCACAAAACTATGTGAGTTTATATTACCTCTAGTTGGAAATGTGTCCCAAATGGCACCCTAGTGCATTTATAGTACACTACTTTTGGCCAGGGCCATAGGATGCCATTTGGGACAGGTCCCTATCAGCCAAGCTGGCCCTCTCAAAGCCCTTAAGATCGAGGTGTAAGGAGTGCTGCAGTCCTGTGTGTCACCCAATCTCCCACCTCTGTCCTCTTATTACCTGTTCCTCTCGCATCCTCAGACAGCACAGCACTGTTCAATCTTTGGTGAACACGGTCGTTTATTTCGGTTGTTTATTTCACAATGCACTCTGCTGAAGGGTCATGGACACACTCGCAGTAGATCTTGTCTGTTTCTTTTGCACAAAGTCTTTAAAAAACAGCCTCGAGATTCTATTGTTGCTGCTCTTTTTTGGGATTTTGATGATTTTGAATACACATTTAAGTAATTTTAAAACCAAAACATTCTGCGCTTTTCCCTCCCCCTCCATTCTTCCTTCGTCCCGCTCTTCAGTCTTGGGTGACAATCCCGTCACCCCTGTTTCTGTTCTACACACAGTCAAACAGATATCAGTTCATCATGTTCGCTCTCTCTCTCAACAGACAGTCTTCTCTGGCCCGTCCATGTCCATTGAATCAGTGGTTGCAGGGAGTAAGAGACAGACAGACATCCCCCCTCAGCTGAGCTCGAAGCCTGCGGAGGATTCAATGGCGTACAGCAGCTTGTTCCTCATCAGGTGCTGGTCGCAGAACTCGGGCAGCTTAAGCAGGTTCATGCAGGTTGAGGCCGTGGGCAGGCGCTCTAGGTCGTTCCCCCCATTATGGATGCAGAAGGCTGGGTACAGTTCCTAGAAACCCGGGTGGGGATGGGGGGTGGGGGGAGAACCGTGTCAAACTAGAGATTCAGAAGGCCATGGAGGCCCTGTATACATTCAATTCACACAACTGATTTACAACGCATTTGGCACAACACTAGTGATCGAGCAACATCAGGATATAAATGTGATAAGCCGTGAAAAAAGCGTGGATATACTATTAAAATAGGCTGTGATGTTTGAAAGGAGACCGAGTGTGACACTTGGATGCAGAGCAAGAGCAGAGAATGGTCATTTCATGTTGTCTATCTGGCACTTTATAAAATTACTCTTTCTGGTGATGAGGCCAGGACACCTCATCTCCACCCACATCATCAAGGCCAAGACACTGCTAGGTCCCAAACGGTACCCTATTCCCTATATAGTGCCCCACCCTATGGGTCCCTGGTCAAAAGTAGTGCACTATATAGGGAATAGGTGCCATTTGGAGCATACCCATTGACGGTTTCCATCAGAATCCACAGGAATCATCCTTTCTCTTTCTAACGTCCAGCCGCTCTATAGCTATTTAAAGATTAGAAGTGTGGCGTGGGGTTCAGCGCCTGTACCTTTCCCGGTTAAATGGTTCCCGGGGGGCTCGGCAGTAACGACACCATTTTTCGGACAATTATAGTATTAAACTATCGTTGCTTATTGAGAAAGTGTCATTATGGGAACGATAATTCTGGGAAAAAAGGCTATCGATCATCTTTTTTTTAAAATGCTTCTCCTGACAGCTATTTCACTGCTAATGAATCCTTGGACATTTACGGCAGCTAATTAAAGCTGGGCTGGCATGGGCCCAGGGTTAGGGTTAGGGGCCACTCCCCGCCCCGCCCTACCAATCACCATCATCGCCTCCTCTCCGGGCCCAGGGAGGAGGAGACAGGGAAAGGCAAGGACACCACATTCACACACTCCCCAAAGTCAAATTCATTAAACGGGGGAGCTCTCCAGCCCTCCTGCCTAAGCCACCGAGGGAGATTTTTGGGTGTGTTCCCATCCGTACCCTCCTCTCTCTCCCCGTTGTGGGAGTACTTAAGTATTCTTAACTAACGACGGCAACAAACAGTAGTAAAACCAATCATATGACAATTACAGCTTCTGGTTATCCTAAGTAAGGCATATAAAAGTCCTAATGGATTTCAGCAGTGCTCTCTTTTCTATTTCCAACCATTTTAGTGTCCCTATAAATCAAGTCATTAGGTAAGTGAAATGGCTCTCGATTGGAGGAATCGTCAGCTGAAGTCACAATAATGGTAATTCCGATAAACGCAATTCCATCATTTCAGTTCTTGGCTGAAGTCATTTTGGAAACAAACAGTTTGATGATGTTGCAGCAATGTTTTGGTGCTAGTTTTTGGGGGCGGCTATTAAAAACTAGTATATTCATTCTGGGGTTATACCCTGTGCCCAACTAAAGAGGTCGAATGACCTAAAAGAGGAATTAATTATGAATAATGTGAAACTAACTTCCCTACTACTCATGAGGTTAAACAGGAGCCAACAGTGCAAAGGTTCACCGTGCCACCGGCTTAGTCTGAAACCAATGACAATATTTGTCCGGTGGGTGATGCCTGCCGACCGAGCCCACACCCAACGGTCGGGCAAAGGGCCTCAAATTGACTAATAATCCAGAGAAGGGTTGTGAACCGCAGCGCAGGAGAAGATAAGCAAGAACCAGGCAGCCTTAGGAGTCTTATCACTAAGCCCAATTTCAAAATGATCATCAGAGGGTGTTATCGGGACAGGTATTTTCATGACATGCCCATTAGAACAGTGAACACTCCATAGTGCTGAAATTTGTCTTGGGGGCTGCATCCCAAATGGCTCCCTATATAGTGCACTACTTTTGGTCAATGTGTGCACTAGATAGGGAATAGGGTGCCATTTGATACTCCCTGAGTGTTTGGTTAAACACCGGCTACAATCAACAATACCAGACGGAGGGTAGAAAAGAAAAGGAACCAACTGACGTAGTGAACTTTGAACCCTCACCTTGAAGCCCAGGAGAGGAGGCCGCGAGCAACTGGTGACAAACTTGAGCAGCTTGCGTTTCTCTTCATCGGTGAAGCTCTCCACCACCTCCCAGAAGATGGTAATGACAGGGTGGGTGGCAGTGTAACCACCTGGAGAAGACCGAGACAGAAAGGACAATATGACACACTTGGGTTTTAGTTTAAAAAACACCTGTAAACCGAGTGAATCCGCTGTCAGACAGAAGTAGTTGTCACATTCAATAGTCATTGTTTGTGCTGTTATAGACTCATGATGCCAGTCATACCATCTCGACCAGCACACATGCCATTCAACCACACATTAATCTTTAGCGCAACCGTATGCCATGACTAGGCCACCTGGCCCATGAAGTTGGCAGGAAAGCTTGACAGTTAGCTCTATGGAAATCCTCCTGACTGTACAACGCATTAAATGCCAAAAGTAGTTACTCCTACTACTAGTAACTGAGTATCACTTTGATATCATTTTCACCATTATGACAGAGCCTAAGTAGTTTTGTTTCTTACAATAAACTTCTATAAACCATCCATAATGCGATCATACCGGAGTAGTTTGTAAAGGTCTTCAGGTCGTCAAGACAAATGGGCACATGAGCTCCAGATATCAACACCTGTAGTGGGAAAGCAAAGATAGGTGAAGAATAATTAGGAATGTATCTTTATGTGTGCATGTTTGTGTAAGTAATGTGAATAGAGTTGCAAAATCCTGGGAAAGTTGCCGGAATTTTGCAAACCTAGTGAAAATCCATGACATGTTACCTGGATCTCTTGCTGGTCAAACATGCGCAGCCACTCCAGGTTTACCACGTTGGCCAGGCCCTGTCTGAAGGCCAGGCAGTGGGGCCTGATCTGTTTGTTGAGTCGGTAATCTGCCACTAAATGGATGTATGCTATCCTGTTGGCCGTGGACACAGGGATGTCCTTCCCTCCCGGCTTCAGCTCAACCACCTGGTAGAAAGAACCCGTCAGACATTAATCACATAGCCACGTAGAAGGCAACCAGGAGAGAGAGAGGGCACATGTCACCCTCAACACATTTTACTGAGGGTATTACTTTCTCCATTTTTTAAACATAGAGTGTCACTCAAGTAGCACGCAAAATGCAAAGTAGAAATTTGGTATTGGAGCATCTAATATTACCGTATCATTGGAGGCATACTACCAACACTGCTGTACATAAGACAAGCTCTTTAGGCCCAGAGAGCTTGTTTTGAGGGTACCAGTGGAGCAAGGGGAGAAATCACTGATCAGGCTATGGGACCCAGGGGTGGGTTTGGCAGGCCTTAGATGGGACAGTGCACAGGGGATAAGGACCAGTTCTGTGTTCCTGACTTTGGTATGATCCATGAACAGCTGCTGGTCCATTAAAAGTTTGGCACAAGATTCTTCCACCAGCCTGTTTCATCAGCTATGGTTTGTTGAGCTTTGGGTCACAAATCCTGATCCATCTCCTTCCTGGAGTAGTTTGTATGTTGATTGAATGGTCTTGGAGGAGTTAGGACACATACCAAATAATCACAGTGAAATAATCCAGATCATTTAGGAATTTATGATACTCTTCAAATCATTGTGTTCCTGAAAATCTTAATTATTCACCTTATTGAAAAAAGTAGCCAGCTAAGGGGGTGAGGGGGCATGTCCCCCCGCAAAATGTTTGCCCTACAAAATCGGTTAATGAGTAAATTAAGTAGCCAACCACAAAAGGGTTAATAGTCAGCTATAGGCAGCTTGCTCTTATTGTACGATACCTTCTAAAGAAGGGGTTTATTTCTGGGAAGTATCTATAGTACCTTTAAATTTAACAACATTTCAGTCAAAACGCACTACAGAAAATGATTGAATCGACAATGTTTTCAACAGGTCATTCTGAATCCGTAACGTTACGCGATTCCAGGTCATATTGACTCTTCACCTTATTGCATGAGAATGATTGTCTTTATCTTGCTTGCTTTGACTATCTCCCGAGGGCATATATGGGCCAGTCTGCCTCCGAGTGTGTGCCTAATCTCCCGCAAATTGTTTTCAGTATTGTATTTGCAATGCCGTATTTGCAAACGCGGGCTCCATTGTAGCGACACTGTTCAAGCCTGTTTAAAGAGGAGCTAATAAGAAATGCTAAGGCCCTGAGCAAACAGTCGGAGTGGGTAGAGTGCTTAACCCAGCCCAGGGTGACTGGTGAGGGGGACAAGAGGGCAGTGAATAGGCCCGCTCTCTGTCAAATCAGCCAGGCTCAGACATGGTGGACGTGCTAAAGAGGCGAAAGTCGCGCCTCTCAGGCGTGTTCCGAGATAATTGCTTGAAGGCCCGCTTGGTGGAATGGTCAACATAGAGCCTTCTATTCCCCGCGGCACGGCAGCAGTCAGGACGAGAGCGGGCGACGTGCTTTATCTCTCTCAGCTCCAAATACAGACAATGTGAGGGAAATGAATTATTAACACCTCACACAGAGAGCGTATAGAGAGAGTGAGGGAGCGGGGAGGGTGGCAGCTAGAGACCAACAAGGAGGAGAGAAAAGGACAAAGGGAATGGAGAGAGGGACAGAATGACAAGGCCAGAGAGACAGGCACAGAATGAGGGATAGAGGCACTGGCAATCAAAGAGAGAGACGATGGAGAGAGAGAATAATACTGACAAAGAGTGGGAGAGACAGAGTGGTAGTGTACACGTAAAAGCAGTGAATAATTCCCCCCCCCCCCCCCCAAAACACACACAGATACCCACCCACCCACCCACCCACTCACACACCTGTGCCTCTCCCAGGTCGTTGTTGACAATGGTGAAGTTGAGTCCCAGGTCCTCCACGTCGTCCTCGTAGCTCTTGAGGAAGAGCAGGTTGCGGTACATCTCAGGGTCCAGCGAGGCCAGGTGGTGGATGTCCACATCGGCACTGGTGCCCAGCAGCTTGGATAGGAAGAAACTGGCAAATGGCAGCTCCACCAGCATGTTCTCATACAGGGCCTATAGGGAGACAGGAAACAAAGGTCGAGGTCATACATTAACTCAGGTCAAAGGTCATGATAACATGATGTGACTCAGTTGGTAGAGAATGGTACATCCAACACCAGGACCATGGGTTCGATTCCAGCTGGGGCCACCCATACGAAAATATATGCGCGGATGACTCAAAGTCGTTTTTGGATAAAAGCGTCTGCTAAATGGCATATATTATATTATTTCTTATGATAAAAATGAGGTCATGATAATGTCATACAAATCAGACTAACAGAACAACCAGTGACAGAACAGTGAACAGAAGAATCAATAACAACAATGAAAAACGATGAGAGAGCCATCTTCGCTGTTTTCAATTAAAAACCTTTACGCAACGCATTAACCCAAGAGCGACCGGAACATCGGATATGAAAGCGATAACATAGTAAATCAGTTCACGTCGGCGCAAGAGCGCAAAGCAAGAACACAATCTGTCTAAAACACACAGGCCTTCAAATCTACCGGCCGCAAACTTTATAAATGTCAATTCTATCCTTGAACTGGGCTGCCATTAAGAACCATGGCCAAGCAGTTGACTCATAAAACCGGGATCTAATGTACTGGGATAGTCCTAAAAAGAGCCCGTTCCAAGCGTTAAATATACAGCTCCTTATAAATGATTGCACTAAAAATCCTGACCACATCAGCTAAATGGATTATAAATCTAGGCCATTTCCATAATGCATGCATCTCAAAAACACACAGGCAGGCATAAATCACTGGCTATTTTCTAAACACAGGTTAATTGCACAACTTCAAAACACAGTCTATTTTCTATGCAAAATAATCCACTTAGCATTTCCCAGGGAGTCTCTACGACTTCCCCGACCATATGCGCCGCGTGCCCCCTTGAAACCTATCAATAACACAGTGCCAGTTAGAGGTGGCAATAAGTAGGCCTACATGGGGGAAGAGTAAAAAAAAACCTGTGGCATATTATTTATTTTTTACGGCCGCTTTATTTATGGGTGTTTATTGCCAGAAATGGTGCCAAAATGACTCGGGATAAAAGGGATTAATTATGGCCCATTCCCTTTTAATATAAGTGAGTGCAGTGGCAACGCAATTAAAGCAGATCGCGGCGCCATCAGGGAGAATAAACGCCCAACAACATTGCAGGTTGCCTGCTGTTAGCTGCCAAGTAAATCCCTTAATTTACAACATTAAGAATCAATCAAAATATGCCTTTCAAACGCATCACTATCAATCAGGGGTGCAACCCGCGCACCTCTGAAAGGGAACTTTTAGTCCGACCGGGTAGATCAATGAGGAAAGGCACTGGGGAGGACGGGGAGAAACCAAACACAAAACTTCAGCCACCCTGAGAGAGTTTGGATGGCAGGTCAGGCCTAACAATACAGGGCTTTTGGGTGCAGTGTACTATCATGAGTGGGTGTCCCAGATGGATGGATGGATGGGGTGAGTAAGGGGTGAGGCGTGGAGAGGAGGGGGCCGGTCTGATCCACCCGTCCTACTGAAGGTTACTGGACGGTGACAGTGATGTGGGGCTGTGAGACTGGCAACAGGAGACCGCTCTCTTTAATAGCCCAACAAAAGAGAGGGAGGCTACGAAAACAGCACCCTGCCGGCACAGCAGCTTAAAGGGTAAATTCAGTATTTTACAACTTGTAAGAACTTGGATGGTTCCTCACCCTGAAATCAGTCTATGTGCCATGAGTAACTGTAATTCATTCGTTTTTTTAACAGCCACTACAAACTAACGCTAGCCAAGCTTTAGCAACTGTGCATTTTTTTTCTTTCATGGCCAAATCAACTAAAATCAACTCAATTATTTGGTTTGACGTTAACTTGAGGTGATTCGCCTTTTTTTTGGTGGACATTGCAAGGTTGCTTTTAGACGCCAGAGAGAACGGTGAGAGACCAGCAACCTTGGCTTGGACTCCAGATGCTAGAGAGATACAATACTGAAGGCTATGAGAATTCAATATGCTTTTATGCTCAGTGTTACGTGGTTTCTGGTTGTGGAGTCAACCCTTATACATGTCAGCTGGGAGGACAAGTGAGGAAGAGGGATGACCGACAGCCCATATTGTGATGTCCAATCCCATTTCAGTGAGTACCCCAAACAGGCCCACTCCTGACGATAATCCATCACCTCCACAACAATGGCAGGCCGGGAGGCCATTAATTAACTATATTAATCTCCTGTGTCCCATAGGCCTTAGCGTGTGTACCGTGTACCACGCATCTCAGCGCAGCAGTGATGCAATCCTAATCTATAACAGTTCCCTCTTTCCTCCCGGTTCAACGCCAGCACTAAACAAATATCAATACACCACTCAAACGAGCACTCACAAGCCCGTATTTATGGAGAAAGAGGGAACTTTAGGTAGGGTTAATTGAAAGTCAAATTCTAATTAATTTCCCCCACCTTTATTTCCTGAGCCATTAGCTGTAGTGAGGGGGGAGCCGAGCGCGCTGCTAGCAGCTGACTGGCCATTTCATAGTGGGATGACTACGGAGAGAGACCAGGGTTATGTCCCAAGTGGCACCCTATTCCCTATGTAGTGCACTACTTTTGACAAGGGCCCATACGACTGGTCAAAATTAGTGCACTATTAAAGGGAATAGGGTGCCATTTGGGGCAAAGCCCAGGAGGCGTTATGGTGCTCTGATGAGTGGACTGGAACATCTTGAAAGCGAGAGAGAGGACTTTAGCTGCTCCGGACTGTAAAACAGATCAAAATGCTATTACCACATGCTTTGACTGCTTATTTATGTCCCTGTCGGCGGGGGCTAGCGCTGATTTAGCGCCCGGCCAAATGCAATCGCTCCACAAACAACGAGGCAGGAATCATCGGCTAATGGAAGGCCTTATTGAGAGGAGGCCGGTTGTCATGAGGTCATTCTTCTCCCGTTGAGAATGAGATGACCCCTCCCCGACACGCACACAATCACACACACACACACACACACACACACTCTCACAGCATCTCGATAAACAATCAGTCGGCACATGTATTAAAGAACATTTCAAAACATTAGGCTCTAATAAACTGTGCGATCAGGGAGGGGAGAAGGGAAAACAAAGCCACCACCAGATCACATGTAGGGTTAATAAACCAAACTCTACCTTGTACAAGAATCGGGTTAAGGTTTTATGGCTTATTCCATTCAAACTGGTCACTTTCTTGGACAACATTTTATACAACAAACACCTTTGTTCGATATGAAGTCAAGTTCAAATACTAACAACCATTAGATTTTATAATGAATCAGCCTTGTCCCTGTACTGTACCTCTGTTATTCAATGTCAGAGACTAGGCTGCCTCATTGGTAGTGATCTCTGATCAATCCCAGATGATCTGCTGGTGTCTGGGAGACAGTGTGACCCTCAGAGAAGGACCACAAGAGGGCAGGCCAGAACCCCCTCCCTGAGGTACTGGAGCGTGGTGATGCTGACTGCATTTCACATCTCATTAACTGATTAGACTTCATCACACATTGGTTGGTTTACCTACCATCTACTTACACACATTGGTTGGTTTACCATCTAATTACTACATTAGAGGTGTTTGTTATTTCAGTTAATGCTTGAAGACACCTGGTGATAATTTCGAGCCAACAGAGAGACACACAAATACCCTACGTGCTTTAATAACTACACCCTTGGGTGAGTCTTCGCTAATTTCTAAATGGGTCAATTCCTGCTGCAAGCACTTTAGCATAACATCCCATTCTTCCATTGTCTGTGACCACAGCTGTGACATTAGGCAGGTTTCCATTAACCCAGGTTTATTCAACAAAAGCAATGTCGCAAACATTTGTAATGGAAACGGCAGATGCAGGATACATTTTCCAAAGATCAAATAAATTTTTCTCGTTCGATGGGGTGGATTTATTGCGACAAATGTTGGAAACTGTGTTTTTCGAATAGATTATTATTGCTGGATAATTTTGAAGGTACGTGAGGCCTGTGATGTTATCACCTAACTATAACCTCCACTCCACATTTAATTCTAAATGCCTACTGCTTGCAATATCCATTTATTCAACAATAAAAATGGTTTATTTGCAAGAAAAGGATTGTCTTGACTTTCAAGAATGCCTGAATTGCTTCACATTGCAATTTGAAGTTTCACCATCAAATTGTTTCAGATCTCTAGGCCTACATGAGTGCAAGTTACACCATGGGATGTAGCTTAGTTGATAGAGCATGGCGTTTGCAACGCCAGGGTTGTGGGTTCGATTCCCACGGGGGGCCAGTATAAAAAAATATGTATTCACTAACTGTAAGTCGCTCTGGATAAGAGCGTCTGCTAAATGACGTAAATGTAATGTAAAGTCACAGACCGTGGCAATAAGTAGGCACATGAGAATTATTAGAATGGCCAAAATGGCAAATATTAGTCAATTCTTGCATTCTATCCATTAGCGCTGTCCCCGACTAAAACAAATCTTTGTCGACCGAGAGTCGTCTATTCTTTCGACCAATCGATTGGTCAAAATGTTAAAACGTGTATTTTTCCATATATAGACACACCCTATGTTTGAATAAAATCAACTATTTGTAGGCTACTGAGCTTGTCTGATGCTTTAAGCACTGCGGTTAAAAATAAAAACCAGGTGAAAAAAACCTGTTCCCGACCCCCCTCCCGCTGCTGCTGGCCTTCGCAGATTCTGCCTTTAAGCTCTTGAAGTTGCCGGTAATAGGCTACACCAGCGGTCGGCAACCTTTTCCATTTATTTGGAGTGCCAATTTATCGTAAGATTTCTACTGATCTGCGTGCCAGTTATGATTTTCATATGCACATTTTCGTGGAACAGTTTCATTTCATTTATAATAAGGTCTTCATATCTCAAAATCAATATCATGTGGTTAATCAAAATGATCTAAATGAAAATGATACAAATCTAAAACGTAACTTCTATTGCCAGTCTACCTTCTATTCAAACTTTCTAAATGTCAACAAAGAAATCACTGGACAAGTTCATGGAACCTAGCTAGTGCCTCCACTTTACACTGTATTGACTACACAAGAACACTGACTTTTACAGAGACCTGGAAATAGACAGCTTTACCTTTCCCAGTGCAGCCTGGGTGGTCTAGTGGGTTCCAATCCGGCCCACACCATCTTTCCACTGTCTCTCCTCTATCCAATAAAACATATAAAATGCACAATAACAATTGTATATTGATGACTTTACCTTCCCCAGTATCCGTCCCAGGAAGTAGTAGTGTCTGGCGAAGGAGTCCCCCACCAGCATCTGGGCGGTGGGGCTGGGGTAGAGCAGGCCCTCGTTGGTGGTCTTGAAGAACCCTTGGTTGGGGTTGAAGCCCGACTTGAGCAGCTCGTTGAGGAACTCGCGGAAGATGCCACCGCCGTCGATGCCCGCCTCGTCCAGGCCGTGGGCGTTGAGCAGGTGCACCCGGATACGTTTCTTCAGGTCCGCCTCTGCATACATGGGACAAGGGGGGAAATCCAAGTTATATATTGAAATATAATATAGAAATATAATACATAGAAAAGGCATGTTATATTTTAATTCCAGAAATGAAGAAAATGATAAATACGTTCGATTCAATTCCCTTATTCTGACACCTCTTTTGTAAGATCAGAGTATTCTACTCATAAAAAAGTAGAAGCATCGTCTACATGGAAATATACATATAATCTACAGTATGTGTAGGGATAAAAAGGAAAATATATATTTTAGCGTTTTTATTTCTCCCCATTTCCACATCTCAAGGCATGATTTCTCTGACCTGAGGAATATTCAAATCAAAGCATATAAAAGGAGGTCACGTTTCAGCATAATTCATGTGCGGTGATAAATCAGAGCAGCTATAACATAGAAAGACACATAAATTATATCGTTTTCAGACATAGAAAGACACATAAATTATATAGTTTTCAGACATAGAAAGACACATAAATTATATAGTTTTCAGCCCCTCGACGGCAAGGCCTCCTACTACTCGTTTTAATCATTCGGCCCAACAAAAGTGCTCTTTTAAATTCAAACACAAAAAGAGGTGACTTAAAATAATTGATTTCACGCTTTTATGTGATCCATTCGAATAATCACGATCACAATTATGCTTTAGTGAAATCCAACAGTCCCAAGACCTATGTGAAAGCTAACCTTCATTTCTAATGGGATCTGTAACCTCAGCTATAATATCTGGATTTTATGGACTGCAAATATTAGAAAAATACTGAGACTGCGTCCCAATCATCTCTCCTTTCTCCCGAAATGTGCACTTGTTCACTACTTTATTATACCAGTAATTTCCATCCAAATCCATGAAGGGAAGTGAACAAGTGCACACTTTGGGAGAAAGGAGAGATTATTGGGACGCAGCCCGAGACATATCCCTCCTCACCAAACCGTATCCCTCCTCAGCCTTACCACGTACCGTTTTCTGGGGAGAGCTTGTCGTAGGCGTCCTCGTAGATGTAGTTCCGTCTGATGGTGACGTTGATCCCGTCCAGAAACGGCCCGTCTCCCTGGACGTCCCGCTTGTCCGCATAGATCAGTCTCTGGAAGATCTTCACCAGGGACAAGCAGTTTTAAATGACAGACTACCTACAGCCAGCCCTGTTTTATAGGACATCTATATTGACTACATGGACAATTTCTAACGGAGAGAGTAAATAAAGACGAGAAAACTATTTAAACAAATGCTTGTTTTCTCTTCAATTGGTTTCTGAGAGAAGTCTGTGACTTCTAGAATAACTAATATAGTAACATAATGATAACTGAGGTGAAAAGTCATAGTTGTACCAACTATTCCCCAAGGGTTTGGGTTTTATAACAAGTAAATGGAGCAATATGCAGGGCTGAGATGTGGAGTACCTTGACTCGCTCCTCAAAGGGCACGACGAAGGGCAGCTCAGTCAGGATGGCCAAGTGTCTCTCCTCAGACACAGACAGCTGTGGAGGCTCCATCCCCACTAGAATAGAATGGAGTAAAATAGAATATCCTTTATTTGTCCCCTTCTTCAACAACAATACAGTAGAGTCCTGCATCTAGTCGGATACCCGCGGTTCCCCGCGGTTGACCCGTAAAAAAGAGAAATCAGCTGGCTGGTGGAATGAAAACATTCTTTCTACCCACGGGGCGGCTCGCGGTTCAGAACAATTATATTGCGGGTCGTAAACGTTTTAAATTAAGATTTTAAAACGTTTACAAAGCCAGGAGCTTGTTGTGTTGAATTGTGTTGCAAATTCCATTATGTGAGCGGTGAGGCAGACATAGCATAGGCTACCAGCATGTGAGAGTGGAACAGGGAACTGTCCATTATTTGTGTGGTGCTGAAACATTCCTAATTTGTCCACGTGCAGTGCTTATGTTCCCTTCTGCCAGACGACAATATGTTGGCAAGTTTATTTTCCCTGACTCCTAGCTCACGCAAAAATGGCTAACGTAGCAGGAGAAATAGAAAGAAAGGTTATGATGGTGAAATACACCGTCGTGGAAACAGGTGCTGCGTGAGTGACATCCCCATTTGGAAGGATTTTGGAGTCATTGTGGACAGGGAGGACAACAACCCAGTAGATGGATACACAGCCTGCAAAAGTGCAAGCAGCAGGTATTTCTTTACGATAATTCAGTTAATTATCAGTTCAATATTATATTAATTCAGGCTTTCGTTCATTTAGACCATACGCAGGCCATATAAAGTTTGAACCGGTGTGGCTGGTAAAAGTTTGAGTAGCCAATAGGCTATTTTTGCAGCCTATAGCCTATTCGATTCTGGGAATTGTTGATTTAAGTTTCAATTAAACTATATGATTATCTAAACAATATTGAATGTAAAGGTATTGGTTATGTCGGCTACAGGCTTTCATTAGGTGAGAAGGCTAATTAGAAGGCCCTTTTTCTAAGCGATTTGATTTGTCAATGTGCCGCATCGCATTGTGAAGACAGGCCTATCGTTCTTAATTCATGGCATGGTTTCCTTTTATCCAAATGCTGAATAGACATGCAGACAAATTAATTCATGCGGGGAATAGCCTAATAGTTTACTACTCTGGAGTCATAAAAGCAACTAAAGAAATTGATGTTATTTGGCAGGTCACGAATCGGCTCTCGGGAACAATTCTATGCAGGTGGGTCGTGTTGCGGAGAAAGATCTGTCCTGATGTCGGATATTGGGTGGGGCTCGGAATTGATGTGGCCGGCTCCAAAAAGCTGACCCATGCATGACTCTACATATAATACAGTACAACAACGTTCACTTAAACTGCTCTGTAACAGTCAATCTGTCTGTCTTCTACCCATCCAGCTAGTTATTTATTCACTTACAGTGAGGGAAAAAAGTATTTGATCCCCTGCTGATTTTGTACGTTTGCCCACTGACAAAGAAATTATCAGTCTATAATGTTAATGGTAGGTTTGTTTGAACAGTGAGAGACAGAATAACAACAAAAAAATCCAGAAAAACGCATGCCAAAAATGTTATAAATTGATTTGCATTTTAATGGAGGGAAATAGGTATTTGACCCCCTCTCAATCAGGAAGATTTCTGGCTCCCAGGTGTCTTTTATACAGGTAACGAGCTGAGATTAGGAGCACACTCTTAAGGGAGTGCTCCTAATCTCAGCTTGTTACCTGTATAAAAGACACCTGTCCACAGAAGCAATCAATCAATCAGATTCCAAACTCTCCACCATGGCCAAGACCAAAGAGCTCTCAAAGGATGTCAGGGACAAGATTGTCGACCTACACAAGGCTGGAATGGGCTACAAGACCATCGCCAAGCAGCTTGGTGAGAAGGTGACAACAGTTGGTGCGATTATTCGCAAATGGAAGAAACACAAAAGACCTGTCAATCTCCCTCGGCCTGGGGCTCCATGCAAGATCTCAACTCGTGGAGTTGCAATGATCATGAGAACGGTGAGGAATCAGCCCAGAACTACACGGGAGGATCTTGTCAATGATCTCAAGGCAGCTGGGACCATAGTCACCAAGAAAACAATTGGTAACACACTACGCCGTGAAGGACTGAAATCCTGCAGCGCCCGCTAGGTCCCCCTGCTCAAGAAAGCACATATACAGGCCCGTCTGAAGTTTGCCAATGAACATCTGAATGATTCAGAGGAGAACTGGGTGAAAGTGTTGTGGTCAGATGAGACCAAAATCGAGCTCTTTGCCATCAACTCAACTCGCCGTGTTTGGAGGAGGAGGAATGCTGCCTATGACCCCAAGAACACCATCCCCACCGTCAAACATGGAGGTGGAAACATTATGCTTTGGGGGTGTTTTTCTGCTAAGGGGACAGGACAACTTTACCACATCAAAGGGACGATGGACAGGGCCATGTACCGTCAAATCTTGGGTGAGAACCTCCTTCCCTCAGCCAGGGCATTGAAAATGGGTCGTGGATGGGCATTCCAGCATGACAATGACCCAAAACACACGGCCAAGGCAACAAAGGAGTGGCTCAAGAATAAGCACATTAAGGTCCTGGAGTGGTCTAGCCAGACTCCAGACATTAATCCCATAGAAAATCTGTGGAGGGAGCTGAAGGTTCGAGTTGCCAAACGTCAGGCTCGAAACCTTAATGACTTGGAGAAGATCTGCAAAGAGGAGTGGGACAAAATCCCTCCTGAGATGTGTGCAAACCTGGTGGCCAACTACAAGAAACGTCTGACCTCTGTGATTGCCAACAAGGGTTTTGCCACCAAGTACTAAGTCTTGTTTTGCAGAGGGGTCAAATACTTATTTCCCTCATTAAAATGCAAATCAATTTATAACATTTGACATGTTTTTCTGGATGTTTTTGGTTGTTATTCTGTCTCTCACTGTTCAAATAAACCTACCATTAAAATTATAGACTGATCATGTCTTTGTCAGTGGGCAAACGTAGAAAATCAGCAGGGGATGAAATGCTTTTTCCCCCTCACTGTATCCATCCATCGTCACTTCTTCAATTGACCCATCTATCCACACTATCCTACCAATTCATCAATCTGATCTTCCATCTAGGTATCTATCCATCCATCCAGCTCTAATTCATTCATCCATCCATCCATCCATTCATAAAAGCCCAATGCAGCTCCATGTAGGGTTCCCATGACCACACAGTGTGGATAGATGCTGAGACAGCACTCTGGTAAATGTTCAACCAGGCTGCACAGAGGTTTCTATATCCCACTACCAGAATCTAAACCCCACACTCCTGAGCGGCATCTCCCTAATGACAGACACTGAACAGAAAACCCAGACACGTCTTCATGGAGCGAGCCAAACCCCGATAACACAATCATTCAATTTCTCCACAGTTACCCCCGATCCTGCACGCCTGCTAGCCCTACTCCCTCCCTGACTACTAACCCGCTAGGCCCTCTCTCCACCCAGTTGACTGTTTACAGGCAGCCCATTACAGAGTGCTCAATCCTGCCTCAACCCCTCCCTCTCTAACACACACTTTTAATTACTGAGCTGCCCGTCCAACATGTCCGGCCGTTTCCATTAAGCGGACGTTTGTTTTTGTATTAAACTCGCCGTTCGGAACCGTTTAGAACCAGAAACTGCCACAACAGCAAAGTTAAACCGCCATTCTCCCTACATTGTCTCCCTTAGAGCTCAATTCTTCTGCTCAATTAGTCAATCCCATCTGCATTTCGCCCATCAGGTTTCCATCTTTGAGGAGAAATATGGCCCGGGGGTGGTCAATACGTTGGCCATTCATCACCCGAGGGCCTGTCCATTTAAGGAAATGAAGAAAGGGCTTACAAACATACAGTCAGATGTGGCTGAGCTCACCAGGACTCTCATGCTAATTGAATTGATCCTGTATCGGGGCTAGATGGAGTGGCATTAAGCAGATCATACACACATTATTATCTGTTTGTTTTCACATCAGCTCTATCTGCTCGCTGCCGGAGGCCCACGATGCTGCTCTAAATGAAAGGGCATAAGAGCCTGGCTGTCTCTCGGCCCATTGCCCTCCCTGGCTCTTCACTTGGGCATTGGGAGTGACTCGAAGGAAAATAACAAACCTAAGATTACAGCTGGGCTGACCTAAGAGCTTAATTTACCAGAGGTCACACAGTGTTCCCTGCACCCCAATTAGGGTGTTCCACTGCACTTCTAAAATCTGTGACGACCACCAGTGGTTGGTTAATGCCAAAGGCACGTATTACTAAGACAGGGAACTGTTTGCGTTTCCCATAGGAAAACATGACACACTTCCGCCACACTGCTAACACTAGCTGGGTATGCACAGGGTTTCCCACCGTCTTTGTTAATGCATAACAGGAACTTGTTTTTGGGGCTACTATATTGTATCGTACCATCCAGTGTGGACTGCAGGGGCCCGATGCGTCCCATCCTCCGCGTCCTCCACACGTTTCTGGCTGAAGGGACGTATAACTGGGTCACCTGGAGGGGGAAGAGCAGCTCCAGTCAGCATGACTATACTAACAACATCCTACATAGGACATAACGTAGACCCAATACATGGCCTGACAGTATGCCACAGGGACTATGTGAATGTGTATGCTCACTTCCCAGTATCTTTTGTATTGCATGTATTATAAATGTAATGTTTTAGTGTATTTTGTATGCTGACCTCACACAATTTATGTCCATGTAATTGGACAATAAAGTTATCGTATTCTATCCATCTTAATACTCCTGAATATACATGTCAGTAGCACAGTTCATGACAACATTGCACGCATCCCATAGATGTCATTAAGTTGTTATAACGTATATAAACTAAGCGGTGTTCATGGGCACTTGTATGCAGTCATAAAGGTGGATCGTTCAAATGAAGTGTTAGTGAAGTGTTAGAGTAAAACATATTAGTGATAATCCTGATAAACTCATTAAGGGCAATGAGTCTGATCTAATGGCCGAGAGCACGGTTACCCACAGTTACCTTATCTGCTCTGATGTTGACCTCTTCAGAGAGCCAATGGCCTGCTGGACAGAATGGTCGTCTGATGTCACGAGCCTTCACCATCTTTACCAAGTTAGTGATGACCTGCAAAAAATTATGAGCAATAAACAATACAAATAAAAAAGTCACATACTCTCAGAGAACAAACCACTCCCTCTCTTCTCTCTCAGTCTCTGTACTTAATATAAAAAACTAATTTAAATGTTTTGGTTATGTAATGCATAAGGGAAAGTGCAACAAAATACAGAAGTGAAACCAAACGTCACATACATGTAATTTTAATGTCATAAGTCAGTTTAACATAGATTATTTGCAAACAAACAAATCTATTCGTGTGGAGGCTCGACAATAAGCTGCTTCCTCTTAAAAAAAACGATGTGCGAGTTGAGCCATTAGCGTGCCATAACGATGGTATAAAAGAGGAATGGATGGGGTCGTCCCTCCATGTCCAGCGCCAGGGTTCATTATGGGCTAGTCTGTCCAGTCTGCTGACATCAGCCACGAGACGGAGAGCAAAATATTGACTGGTGTAATTCTGTGTTGTACTGTGAGTTAGGGTCAGGGTGAGAATTGTTGGGATATCCCATATCTTCCTGTGCAGTAGAGGGTGACAAGTGAATATTAAATCCTAAGTTTTATTCCTGTCCAGTACGGTCAATAACAATAAAAGTCCATCTTGTACTGTCCTGTCCTAAAAATAAAATCCTGTACTGTCCTGCGAAAAACATGGATTTGTTACCTCCTCTACCATGTCTTACTGTGTGCAGTGTTCAGATATGAATGTTTGATAGAAGTTGATAATTACTTCACTGTAAAGACTGAACTTGTCACGTCTGTATTGATCATTTCCATAATCTCACTCCACAGTCATTACCGGCACTAGCTAGGAGGAGTATTCAGACACGTAAGCAGGCAACATCGTTTGAATGGACATTTTATTTTTAACACACAACGTTTTCATACGGGACGCGATCAATCTCGGGCAGTCATCAGCGGCAACTGGAGTCGGTATTCACACTAATAATGGGGAGTGCAAAACGCTGTTGGTGGTGCGGACGATGGGCTCGGAGAGAGACTTACCCCCTACTCAGGAGGAATGAATAAGCATTCCTTAATTAGCCCATCGGGTTAAGTGCACGCCTTAATGGGCCTCTCCCAAACTCCACCATGACATCCCTCTCCAAACATGGCCAAGAAGAGAAAGTCCATTAGCAATATTAATACAAGCTTAGTTGATCATTTTCATTAAATTAACTTCTTTCAATTATATAGATAGCTCAACAATGGGGCTGATAAAAGATGGGCGAGGGACGGCTGATGACTCGAACCAAACATTAGCGTGTTAGGGGGTCAGCCGCGTTAAAGCCACTATAAATCCAGCCCCGTTCAATTTGGAAAATGCCTTTCCCCTGCTCTCCCACTTCTTTAATGGGTCGTTTTAGCTGACGGTGTTTGCGCTCCTCGGTCTGTTCTGAAATTCCTGCCGCATTCGTACACGCACAACACCTCGGCTGAAAGAAAGCGTCGCTCACCTTCGAGTCCCTCTCTCAAATTCAAAGCCAAGAACAAAGTTGCTTAATTACCGTTTCAGGGAAAGAGAGAGAAAGGGAGAACAGAGGGAGAGGAGGAGGCTAGAGGGAAGAAGAGGGAGGTAAAGACGAGAGCGAGAGAGGCCTGACGAGTGGAGAATTAACCTAATGTTGTTATCTGGCTCATTTCCTTTAAGTAAACAGCCAATTAATGTCCTCATTCAACCCCCTATGCGCTGCCTGGTGTGAATCTATCCATGCATGCTCTGTTTCTCCTCACTAACAACATTTTGCTGATTGACACATTTTTGTAAATGCTATGAGAGAAACCGAAGTCAAAATAAGACTATTTAAAAAGGCACAGTATAGTCAAAAACGTGGTTTTCCTGTGTGTTATATATATTTCAACACTATGAGGTTGGAATAATACTTTGAAATTGTGAAAATGATGATAATGCCCTTTTAGTGTAAGAGCTGTTTGAAAAGACCCCCTGAAACTTCAGGCTGTTTTGGTGGGATGGAGTTTTGGCTTTCCATGGTGACATCACTATGCGGTAAATTAGTTAATAGACCAATAAGAAGTTACAAACCCCTTTGCCAATAACAGCTAGTTTTCAGTTTTTCCCATCCCCGCTAAGACCCACTCCCAGACAGTCCTAACTCTTGCTTCATTTTGACCATTTTGACCATTTTACAATCACAGTAAGGTACTTAATTGTTACCCAGAAATTATTGGATAGTGAGATAAAAACGGCTGCATTGTACTTTTAAAGAGGGCTTTCAAGAGGACACTGAATACACTAGCATGTAACCATTTCCAAATCCGTTACAGGTGCCTCTGTGAGAGTGAGGACTCAAGCCAGTTGGGAGGCATCTAAATGTTGGATGATGAAACAAGTTTTCGGAACTATTTTGCAAACATAGGACCCTATCAAATCCCTCAATTAGATGTGGAGCCATTGCCTGGGTCGCATTCACTAGGAGCAAAACGGAACCAAATGGGTCAAAAAGCGGAGGGACTACCTGAACTTGTCCAATAAGAATAGCTTATTTGCGTTTCCCGTTGCAAAACATTTTGCTACAGTGTGACTAATGAATACGACCCTGACCATGCTGGGGCGATGGGTGGGCATTCACCTTGAATAGCTGGACCCAACGTTTCTGCTCGGCCTGGATGCGCTGCTGCACCTCTGTGTTGGTCTTGACGCCCACGCTGCGGAAGGCGGCCATGTACTCCTCGCGGTGCTCCGTCTTGGTTTCTGGGTAGGCCAGCTTGATAATGCCCAGACACGCGTCCCTTAGTAACCGAGACAAGGTCACCAGCTCGGACAATGTGAACGGCATCATGGACGTATTGCTGTGGCCTGAAAATGGGTGGACGGAGAAATGGATGGTTGTTCACAACCACTCAGCCATTGAACACAATGCAGGCAACGTTTTCCTCTCTCAAAGACAACTGCACTGTGAGCTAAAGCACTAAGTTATATTATAATTATGCAGCACAACTTTTGTTCCAATTTCCATGAGAAAAAACTTTAGTTCAACCGGAGATTTGGTAAAAAGCGTGATTTACACACCACACACAATGCAATCGTGAGGTAAAGTATCGTAGCTCCCGTTATTTAGAATGTTCCCTGTGTGTTAGTTCACAGCACAGCTGTCTTTGCCAGGGGAAAATGAGACCCTACATCTCTTACTGATGTTGCCCACTGAATATTACCCACAGGGAAGGATGTTGTGCAGGAACAATGTGGTGTAGTGGAAAATTAGTGAGACTATCCATCTGGATACAAATACACTAACTTTCCATGACATAAACTGACCAGGTGAATCCAGGTTGAACCTATGATCCCTTATTGATCCGCTTCAGTTAAAGAAGGATTTTTAAGCTTTGAGACAATTGAGACATGGATTGTGTATGAGTGCCATTCAGAGGGTGAATGGGCAAGACAATATTTAAGTGCCTTTGAACGAGGTATGGTAGTAGGTGCCAGGTGCGCCGGTTTGTGTCAAGAACTGCAATGCTGCTGGGTTTTTCACGCTCAACAATTTCCCGTGTGTATCAAGAATGGTCCACCAACCAATGGACATCCAGCCAACTTGACAACTGTGGGAAGCATTGGAGTCAACATGGGCCAGCATCCCTGTGGAACACTTTGGACACCTTGTAGAGTCCATGCCCCAACGAATTGAGGCTGTTCTGAGGGCAAAAGGGGGTGCAACTCAATATTAGGAAGGTGTCCTTAAATGATTTGTACACTCAGTGTACATGTGTAGAAGCCTTTAAATTCAAAGTAAAATGCAATGTCAGCTTCACACTGATTCAAAACAAGAGGCAGGTGATTTTGAGACTAGGGCTGTGTCCCAAATGGCACTCTGTGGGCATTGGTCAAAAGTAGTACATAGGGAATATGATGCCATTTGGGATGCAAGCTTGGAGCTACAATGTGGAAGGAGGGAGTGGCCTACCATGACCTTCCATGGGGTAGCCAAAGAACTCGCTGTCGTGCACGGAGATGAGCGAGTGACTGAAGAGGGAACTGAAGAGATAGAAGAGGGGGATGATGCGATTGGAGTCTTCCAGAGACATGGGAGACCCCCGGGAGATGACCTGCAGCAGCGGAACCATGGACCTGGGAGGAGAGAAGAAGAGAGACTCACTATATTTACCTGTGAATTTATGCCAATGGGGCACATTGAATTGACTTACATACGCCGAGAGCCCATCAAGGTCCATCACTGTGTTCAGGGATGCATATATCAAGTGTCTCAAAGCAGGAGTTCTGATTTAGGATCAGTTTGGCCTTTTAGATCACAATGAATAAGATTACATGGACAGGGAGGACCTGATCCTAGATCAGCACTCCTAAACCGAGACACTTGATACATACAGCCCCTGAACGACATTCAATCAACTCACCCTGTGATCATTTTGGTAGTCATGGACTGTATCAGGTGCCAGAGATGTCTCAGGAAACGTGCGTTGAACGCTAAACTGTACAGAAGCCTGGAGGGGACAAAATAAAAAGACATAGGCCTAAAAACAGAGCTAAAAAGATACATATGCCAAAAGGGTTGACAATGTACTTGTCTGTCAGTAAACGTATACATCGCTCTCTGCCTCGATGCCCTCCAAGGCGGAGATCGTTAACATTGGCCAATTAACCAGAGGACACAAATAAAGAGGGAAAAATACTAATAAAAGCTGTTGAACAGCAGCATCCCCCAGGAATTTTCTTTCTTGGCCCTTTCTCTCCCACTTCATTCTCCGCGACGAAAAAAGATTAAACGTCCCATTAAGCTTTATTTAGACGAGGCACCTTCCATTAGTAAACTAGTTGCTGGCAAGGAGGAGCTCGGCCCTGGGTCATAAACAGGCCCTCTGGCTTCCTGTAGGAGCCCCATTTAACTTAATGGCAACAGGGGGACAATAGAGGAGAAGGGGGGGGGGGGGCATAGCCCTCACAATGACCTCGGAGCGCCAGCATGCTTCCACACTCTCCCCAAATTACATGAAAACACTGGAGAAGGAAGGAGGGAGGGGGTGGGTGAGCCACTGGCTGCATCCCGATGGCAACCTATTCTCTATAGTGCCCTATGGGCCCTGGTCAAAAGTAGCCCACTATGTAGGGAATAGGGTGCCATTTGGAACGCAGCCACTGAGTCCTCATCCCGACACTCCGGCCAGCCTAACTAACGGCCCATGGCACCCGGGTGTGAAGGTGCTCTTTGTTCAAGTGTGTGCGCGCTCCTTTAGATCGTTCCTGCTAGATTGTGTGTGTGTTTCTTTAACACCAGGTAACACTAATGCAGTAATTCAGTTTAAAACAAAATAAAAGCCCCTGGCTTATAATGGGCCTCTGTCTAAAGAGATACGGTATTGTCACCTATAAGGAAGCCTGTTAAGGGCAGGCAATCTCCTTCTATTCACATGTTGAGAGGTAAAGGTTGACGTAATGTATTGTATTTATGTTAATCACCTCTTTTTGACCCCAAACAACTATTAAAATATAACCAACAACAAAAAAAAATAGCCTATTAAAATGTGGAATAAAGACATTATATTTTTAAGAAAAAAAGCAACAAAACAAGAGATGATGCAAAACTAATTTCTGAATTACATTTACATTTACATTTTAGTCATTTAGCAGACGCTCTTATCCAGAGCGACTTACAGTTAGTGAATACATATATATATATTTTTTATACTGGCCCCCCGTGGGAATCGAACCCACAACCCTGGCGTTGCAAACGCCATGCTCTATCAACTGAGCTACATCCCTGCCGGCCATTCCCTCCCCTACCCTGGACGACGCTGGGCCAATTATGCGCCTCCCATGAGTCTCCCGGTCGCGGCCGGCTGCGACAGAGCCTGGATTCGAACCAGGATCTCTAGTGGCACAGTTAGCACTGCGATGCGGCGCCTTAGACCACTGCGCCACTCAGGAGACAAAGAACTGTAACTCATGAAAGAGAAAATAAACTGAGAAATATGGTTTTAAAGCTGATTGACAGAACACAGACAGGGATTGGGAAGTGGATGGAATCTCACATAAATAAACTAATGTTGGTGTCGGCCTCCAATATCTATGTGTACGTCCCAAATGGCACCCTATTCCCTATATAGTGTACTACTTTTAACCATGGCCCATTGGGCTCTGGTCAAAAGTTGTGTACTATATAGGAAATAGGGTGCCATTTGGGGCACACACACACGTTCACCATTGAGCAGCAGAGATGATTTGAAAGGCAGAAAATTAAAATGATCCTTCTGGGGGGTAAAACGAGTGACAACTCTTTATATGTTTGATAAATAGTTTCTGCCAAGGCCCCCCATCCGTCAGTACAAGAGGAGGACGGGAGCCGGGTATGGCATAGTGCTCTGGGCCTTTACAGTGTGCGGCCGGGTGTTTGATTGAAATGGGCAACAAAGCAATAAAATGCTGACTGACAGCCTGATATACAGCCTGCTAGAAGCCAAAGCTCCCCTTCAATCACGGAATGAAGGCACTAATAAACACAATCACAGACATCAAAAGGGGTTGCGTGTGTCTGTGTGTGTGTCCATAACAATTACCTTGATGGCCAAAACAGATTATTTTATGTAGACATAATGCAAGAATTTACGTATGTTCGCAGAAAAATAGAAAACTAGGCTAAATAAAAAGGGAAAAAGCTGGATTCAATCTGTAGCGCTGAAGAGCTGCGCTACAGTGCAATAGAAATGTAATGTTCCTGCATTAGCGGAGGTTGCATTCACGGTAAACGCTGCATATGTCAGCTCAATCGAAAATTACCTTTATATTTCAATCGCGGCCAAATTAATAATCGCCTTTATTTATGTGAAACTAGCTTAATTCATAAAGGCCTGTGAGTTAGTGCCAGTGGCAGAAAGAGTTTGTGTTCTTAATGCCCGAGCGTCATTATCGCATGTAAACTCCACAATCACAGCAATCGCTCAAAAACAAATTAAGGACAGAGGCTTGCTAGCACTTACAGTTGTCAGTGACCATCAGTTAGCGACAGAGCCACCTCAGGCCAAGGCTAAATAACAATCAAAGTGAAATTACACCAAATACCAAACATTAAACAATTAACTTGAAATTACACCCATTTAGCCTACCAACACCAAAGACAAAGATTATCGCTACCAAAACCAAACCGGTGTGAACTACCAAAATTGAATTGAAGAGCTCTAATAAGAAGGAAGCAAAGAAAAAGGTAGGTGCATTTTTACGAGATACATATTTATTCAAGGCATTGCGCTGGGCTGGCCGTCGAACAGGAGGTGGGAGACGGGAGGGCCGGCTGAGCAGACTAGCTCTTTTTTTAAACGCAGTAAATCAGGCCCGGGATGCAATCTGCTCCCTTTAGCCTCTTGTAAAGCTATCCCATCCACTTCGCCACTAATTAATCTTCCTCAGTGAGCTAATTATTTTGTACAGATATCCGATAATGATTGAGGACAAGAGGTAAGATTTATGGTAAAATCAGTTGGACGAAAGGAAGCTGTAAAAATGAGAGAAAATACTTAGGGAGGAGGATTCTAGGCCTATTCCACCAACTGATTTGGTAAGCAAATCAATGCATCTTCTCTAGTGTCGTTTTTGGGAGACATTTGTGTTCTAAAGGTTAGCTTGAATGTTGCCTGAATCAAGTCTAGCATGAGATCAGACAGGATTGTATTCCTTAGTGCACAACAGTGGAGGCTCCTCAGAGGAGGAAGGGGAGGACCATCCTCCTCAGTGAATTTCATAAAAATTGTAATTGTAAAACATTAAATAAGTAATCATTTTTTAGATAAAACTACACTAAATATAATCACGTTACCAAATCATTGATTAAAACACACTATTTTGCAAAGAAGGTCTACAGTAGCCTCAACAGCACTCTGTAGGATAGCACCATGGTGTAGCCGGAAGACAGCTAGCTTCCGTCATCCTCTGGGTACATTGGACAAAACCTAGGAGGCTCATGGTTCTCACCCCCTTCCATAGAATTACACAGTAATTATGACAACTTCTGGAGGACGTCCTCCAGCCTATCAGAGCTGTGGCAGCATGAACTGACACGTTGTCCACCCAATCAAAGGATCAGATAATTAATCTAGTACTGAAGCATAAGCTACAGCTAGCTAGCACTGCAGTATGTAAAATGTGGTGAGTAGTTGACTCAGAGAGAAAAATACAATAGTTTAACAGTTTAACAAATTAATTTCTTCTTTTTTTAAACTTTCAGTTTCACTTAGCTAGCAAATGCAGCTAGTTAGTTTAGCCTACTGAAACACCCTGCTCAAACAGAGGGATGCTATGTTAGCTAGCTGGCTATGACTTTCCAACACAACACTGGAACTCTTCCAAGTCAAGGTATGCTTTTGGTATTACTCATTTATTGCCACCGGGGCCCGCCGGTGTAACTGCTTACTGACTGTACACTAACGTTACTGCATGATTGTAGCGGGTTTACTAACGCGTTAGTTCTATTAGCTATGTTACTTTAGCTAATATGGTGACAATGATGTAGGCTGTGTGTAGCGGTTTGGCTTGGAAAGGTTTTTTCGCCTGGTCACATACAGCTGATGTGTTGTGCATTGAAGTCCACAAGCGAAGGGACAAGGTGAGAGGAGGAGAGTGCATAGAAGGAATACAACATGGCTGCTATGAAAGTGAACTGTGTTTATGCGTATTCAGGGGTGTATTCATTCCGCCGATTCTGTTGAAAAAGTTTCTTAAACAGAAGCAAACGGAACAAAACAGGGATAAACATACCTGAATTTGTCCAATAGAAACTCTCGTTTGCAACTGTTAGACTAATGATTACACCCCTATATCAAATAGATGCAGGCAAGAGTGTGCAAGGCGGTATTGAATGTCACTGTCGGCTCAAATTTGGCTCTCGACCTGTGTGCACCTACGTTGTAAACTTTCATTCATAGGCTAGGTTGTAGCAACCTCATGATGGGTACAGGGATAATTTGAGTATCATGTAGTAGCCTAAACCTATTGCTATTACATTGAACTGGGTGAATGGAATATGAATGAGAGTCATCCAATATGCTGTAATAGAAATAAGGCCATGCTCATGAAAATAATATCGTCCTCCCTCATCTTAAAACGGCACTGACCGCCACTGGTGCACACCATTGCTAACCATCAAACATTTTTGCAACTTAAAACATTTTGCAACGAAGACAAGGGTTTATTATTGGACAAATTCAGGTAGACTTTCTCCCGTTCCAGCCTGTTTGCTTTCTAGTGAATACGACCAAGGTAACTCTCCAGCCCTAAACAATAGTCACCTTTATTGTTGCCCACCCTGTAAAAGGTGAGAACAACGCATCAGTAATGATAAGACTGAAATAACACGCTCACTCTCTCATCCCCACAGTACGGACAGGTAGTGTCTTCCATTGGCTCTACTAACTATTAACCAGAGGGTTTGAGACTGAGAGACCCTCTGTATGTGCCATAAAGCCCAGGGAAGAGCCCCTCGTTCAGCCACGGCAGCAGCCATCTCCCCCTCTCACATCCTGCCCTTATACAATCAACCCAATCAGCCAGTCCAGCGCTAATTACCCTAATCGAGGAGTGACAGCTTCAGAGCTTCCCTGACATCCTAGTACTTCCTCCACCGGTTGTAAACGCCACTCGGGCGAAGACGACAGATAACGGCTGTGCTTCTTCATCGCGATTCACATTAGTTGCTTACAACTTTAAACTAAATGCTGATTCTGAACACCAATTTTCATGATGTCAAAAAATATATAAAAAAAGGCTTCACATAAAGTTCCTGTAAAATGACTTAATAGACTAAATATTCATTAAAATTGTAGCGAAATAAAAGTTTTGAAACTACTAAATGCGAGGATAAAACAAAAAGTGGTTATTCTAGCACCGTAGATACATGTAAAACCTTAGGTGTGGCACTCTATTCCCTTTATAGTGCACTACTTTGACCAAGGCCTGTAGGGCTCTGGTCAAAAGGAGTGCACTATATAGGGAAAAGGGTGCCATTTGGGACGCATGCATTGTAACTGGATCCGATGTAGAACACTGACCTGACTTTGGGCACCATCATGCGGTGCTGCACCATGAGTGTGTGGCAAATGGAGGCCATCATGGTGAAGACCTCTTCGCTGGCAGAGTCCCTCCACACCAGGTTGAGCAGCGCGTTGGTCTGCTGCTTGGTGTCCAGCTTGTGGACGCATTCCTCCGTGATCAGCTGCACCGATATCCGATAACTGTCGTGCTGGAACGATCGAGAACACACGGAATAGGTTTGAGTGAGTTGTTTCAGTAAGAATAGCAGGGCCTGTATTCATAAAGCGTCAGTAGGATCTAGGATCAGTTCTGCCATTTCGATCATAATGGAGCAGATCGTTTGGCCAGGTCGCGGACCAGATCAGCCCTCCTACTCTGAGACGCTTTATGAATACGGGCCCAGGTGTTTATAGTGAGGTGCCTAGGGGCAGTGTGGATAAGGCTGTGGTCTGCTACTCGTGTGAAATACCTCTAATCAGATGTTAGCCGTTTTCATTTGAAAGTGTTGCCTGTGAAGTAGAAGGGCATTCTGAACTATATGCATTACCTGTAACCTGCAGAGTACTATCCCTGGATTTCAGTGTGTTACCTGTATTGACACATTAGTGGTGTGTGTGTGTTCCACCAGTGTTTAGTGGTGTGTGTGTGTTAGCTAGCTACCTGTGTGGACGGAGCCTGGATGTTAGTGTCCTCCTCGTCCTCTGAGTCACTGATTATCTCCGGCCTGCTGGTGCTCTCTGACACGGGGAGGAGAGGTAGGAGGGTCTGCAGAGCTCGCAGGTACAGGTGGAGGCCCTCCTCTGATAGGGAACCTGCACACACACACGCATTACTACAAACACTTCCTATCACCATCAAAAAAAATTCTGGTCATTCCCTCCAAATCCTCTGTCAGTATCTTCTGGTACACAAGAGTACAATTCCCCACACACTGGACACAAAGCCTGTGTCCCAAATGGCACCCTATTACCTACATAGTGCACTACGTTACACAGAGCCCTATGGGAATAGGGTGCCATTTTGGACGCATCCAAAGCGTATCCCTGACACTTACCTAGGCAGGTCTCCCCGGCCGAGAGGACAAAGTAGAAGAGCCACGGCGCCTGTTTCTGCGCCGCTGCAGAGGAGACTACGGTGGCCTGCAGGGAGCCCAGGAAGGCCTCGAAGGGGAAGTGGAGGCGCGGGTCGGACAGCGCCGGAATAAAGAAGTGAAAGATCTGCTCCGTGAATGGCGCCGAGATGAACTCCTCCGTGAAGGCTGCAAACACATACTGCCTGTGGAACCAGAGAGGGAGGGAGGGAGGGAGGGAGAGAAATTGATTGTCATTACATTACATTCTCCACACTGTAAAATGGATTAGTTGGTTTTAAATGTTCACTACATACATGATAATGACATTGGATTAAGCTATTGATCACAAATCAAAATGTACAAATATGTTACACTATGACGAATAAACATATGAACTGCTTAGATTCCACAAAGGCTTTGCTTTTAAAAGGGATAACTTTCAGTTTCAATCTTTAAGTATTTTGTTCACACTGTTAATACCAATCTCCAAAAAGTCAGCAGTCAAGTTTTCAAGATGGAGCACTTTCCGTACAGTGCCAAAATACCGTTTTTGAGTAGTTATTCTTTAAACTCATTCCCCAAACAGGGACAATAGAGTGATTGAGAGAGTAGGTGCCTCCTCCTTTCAGCTCTGTGAGTGCCCCAATATTGTCTTGTCAAACAGAGCAGTTTTTACTGAGTCACTCACATCTGGTGGCCCCGGTCAGATAATTAGCCGTTGGAGTGAGTGTGTACACAACTTCCTCACACCCAGCCTCTGCTTTTCTTCAAAAACAAAAGAACGCCCCCCTCGTTTGTCATTAAGAATGTTTCAAATTGAGTGCAACTAGTCAATATTCTGTACTCCGAGTCTGGGTCAGTTTTATTGCTCGTAAACAGGTTGGTGAAGCAATTACAGTGTCTCCGCCGACTCAAAAGGACAAACAAATGCCCAAAGTTTACATTATCGGTTTACTGCACAATCTTAACAGCATACGCCACAAACAAAGGCATTCCACTCGTGGCTTCTCACTGTGCTCTTTCCCACATGCTCAGCAGTCGCTGATGCCGAGACACTTTGTGTGTGAGGGGGTTTTCATATGTTGGAGGTGAAACTTTTAAGGGGTCTGACTTTAGCACAAAGGGCCTTCTCTCTCTGTGTGTGTTCTGGTTAGTTTTAGGGTTGTTCATTTGTGTGTGCGTGTTTTGGTTTTACAGACGCTACGGCTGCTGTTATAGTAGGGTAAAGTTGATTTTTTTATTTTCCCCCCCCCCACTAATGGTTAAGGTTAGGATTGGGGGATGGGAAGCTGATCTGTACCTAGGGAAAACTTCACCCCAGAGTGTTATACCTTGCGCCTGTTGTGCAGGAGGAATAGGTAAAGTGCAGGGGCTTCAGCGTGTGCTCCAGCAGTGTGCTTGCCAAGGGGATAGCGTGTGCTCCAGAGGGCGCGTCACTGTACTCCAGACTGGAAGGGAGCTTGTGATTCACTAGAATATAAAGCGACCTGTAGTACCCTGAGAGACAAAGAGTCAGAGAAAAAGAAAGAGAGCTGATGCAAGATGTCAAATTCAATGGGGCTTGAAAATTTGCATTAACCAAATAAAATGTTATAGTGCACTTCCACAGATATCATCACAATATTTACCTTTCTGTACCATATAGTGCAAAATTTGCTCGATTAACGACGCTACACAATTAACGTCTTGAAGGACAGGAAGATAGGTTCTCTCGGAGGAATAGATCTCCAGCATCCTCATGGGAACGGCAACATTCAAACTGTCATCCTTGCAGGTTTGCAGAAGTCTTGGAGAGAGATGGACAGAGGGTGTTAAGGTGGTGTAATATACTTCATCGATTTGTTTGCCAATGGATGTAGAGTGAAGTTGCCCCTAGAAGCTGATCTTGGGTCAGTTTTGTGTTTTTTTCCACTAATGGTTAAGGTTAGGATTGGAAGAGGGGAAGCTGATCCTAGATCTGTACCAAGGGGAAACTTAATCCCAGAGCACATTCATGAAGAATAGGTGTAGGCCCCATTACCTGCAGCAGAAGCCAAGGACCCTCTTAATCTGAAACACACACGTCTGTCTCTCGGACCCCAGCAGCAGCTTCACAAACTGCCCATTGTGTTTCACTAGGTTCTGACAAATCCATATCTACGGAGACACAGACAGAAATGTTGTATCATGTTCCCACACGCAAGATGTACATTTTAGTCATTTTAGCATTTAGACATCACATTTTTACACAAGTTTTTCATTAGTTCAACAACACTTTTGCCCGAAAACCATTGGTCCTCACCAATCTCTGAGAGTCCTCACTCTGTCTGTAGAAAAATAGCAGTTGCCTTGTTAAGAGACTGAGACTGGCAGCGTCGGAGATTGGCGGTCCGCCTTCTGACTGTGCCTGGCAGACGCAGCGGTCAAAGTTGCCCCTCTGGATGGCATACTAGAAAACACCAGGGTCAGAGGTCAAACACAGACAGTTATAGGGATGATCCCTTGATATTGTACACAATGAAGTATCTATCAACATTGCCAGCAGCAATAAAAGGTTGTGGAAAAGGGATTGCTGGCAAGATAAGGGAGTGTGGAAGGGAATGGCATTGAAACCCAAGAATGGGTGTTGTCTAATGTCTGTGAGCTTGTTCATAATAGTTGACATACTTGCTGTTTTCGGTCATGGTATCCTCGTATATAGGATTGAATGATAATTGCATTCTTCAATCTTCGTCTTTCATCCTTATTGAAGTTGAAAAACAGAGTCAAGTAAATAAATACACAGCGAAAGTAAATAATGATTGGTTCACATACAAAGCTGGATGATTTTATATCAAAAGGACTACCTCTCTTTTTCTCCTTTCCTCTTGTGTCCGGTGTAGGAGAGATGCTTTTTCCTCCTGAAAGACAAAGTATATTAGCCTGACACGACTAGTAGAGAAATTAAGTCACTAGCTTAGCCTAGGCAGATAATAGTGGCTGCTAGATCTGCACTATCGTCTAGGATTGATGTGCATTCCCGGTAATACACTCATGTCCCCCGTGGACCGGCTCATACATAAAGCATCCTCCATTCAGGCAGCAAAGGTATAATTTTCCTCCTTAACTAGCTTTAATGGCGAGCCGCTGGGAAAAACATTGAAAAATGTGTACTGTATTAATAAAACACCATTTTCTGATTTATGGACAATTTAGGATGTTGCAAACTGCGTTCAGCCAAGGGTGTGCAACATAAATTGTCAGAAAATCCAACAGTGGATTAGTACACATATTTTTCCAGTTTTTTCCCGGATCTAGCGGCTACCTATGCTAACTTATAGCTAGCTATAGAAATAGTAGAGTAGCCATCACTCTACAGCAGGTAAGGTTAATCTCATAGTGGGCTTACCTTTTTACTCGCTCCCCCAAGAGACACCTTGGGTCTTGTTTTGAAATCTCCCTCAAAGCTGAAGCTCATGGTTAGATTTTTTCAAAGAGATTTTTCTAACCATAGATGAAGGATCCTTGACTTGGTTCAATTCAGGACTTTACAAAGTGGGTGCTACAGCAATCTGAGAAATAAAGTAAACAAAACATTCCATTTAATTTCTGGCTAGTTGTCTAATTTAGTACAGTACCGACAACTTGACACCATCCAGAATAAAGCATCAAGATTAAAGCTAACTAGACACATAGCTACAATTGTTAACTAACGTTACACTTCCCACATCTAGAATATTTCTGGTAGGGAAATGGGAAAACCTGTGGAAAGTGTAACTAGCTAGCATGCTTGGCTACAGTAACGTTAGCTAGCTAGCTACAGTAGCTAACGTTATAAAAAATCCCCAACAGACACAAGTGACTTTGACTGGCTACCACAACACATCACCTTTTGTGGGGAAATCACTGTTGCCTTGTAGATGTCTCTAACGCATTATCTACATTGTCAACCATGTTCCGGTTTTATTTATTTGTTAGTTAGGCAACTTAGTTAGCAAACGTCACTCTTGGTTTTCATTGCACAACACCAAAGACAACACTGGACGCTAGGCTAACTGGCTAGCATGCTAGCTAGTTAGGTTAGCTAATGACTCAGCAGCTTGTGTATACATCGCTCTTGGTGATCTGTCTGCCACTGCTTCGTAAATTCAATAGCATTAGATGTACAGACAACCCCAAAGTTACTTTATTCGTGCGTACATGTACATGACTCTTCTGACATTATAGCTAGCTAGCCAGTTAGCAAACGTTAGCTGGCTAGCTAACTTTACGGGACAGGTCGCCTTTCTAGCTAGCTAACGCGTTAACATTAGTAATCATGGCTATCCTCTTGACATCTTTGTTCTAACAGAATAAATCGTTTGGACTAAAAATTAAATTAACTGTATGTTGATTACCTTTGATTAATGAAATGACCAACCGAAATGAAAGAGTACATAAGACTTTTGTGCTATATTAAATGAAACAAAAATGTATTGTTGGCTCCTTCTCCCCTTCTTTCCAGAAACACAACATAAACGGGTACGTCCGCCTCTTCAGAATACTGAAATCCGACTGGACACGCGTTTTAATGCTGAAATGCTATTCGCTGAATGCTATGTCAATAAAACACAGTTTGGCATTATTGGATCTTCTAGCTGGTGCATTCGTGCCTTGGTCCCGGGAGCAACAGGAAACATATGGGATTTTTAGTGGATTTGCTATTCAACTCAACATATGCTGATATTCTTTATAATGCAATAGTAGACAATGGGCCTAGTTCCACTTCAACTAGAAAAGAGAGAAAATAGAAATAGATATGTGGTATGCAATACAATGTTAGCTGCATTGATGGTATACTTTCATGAATGGAAAGAAGACAGGTGTGCTTGTCAAACCTGAAGAATGTTGTTCAAAATTGCATGTAGTCTCTCTAAATTACATATAACCCTACATACTGTCCTATGGCTACCCGGACTATTTGCACTGCCCCCCCCCACTCCATCCTTTTACGCTGCTGCTACTCTGTTAATTATTTAGGCATAGTCACTTTAACTCTGCCCACATGTACATATTACTTCAACTACCTCAACTAGCCGGTGCCCCCGCACATTGACTCTGCACCGGTACCCCCCTGTATATATAGCCTCCCTACTGTTGTTTTATTTTACTTCTGCTCTTTTTTTTCCAACACTTTTTTTGTTGTTGTTTTATTTTTACTTTTTTTGTTAAAAATAAATGCACTGTTGGTTAAGGGCTGTACGTAAGCATTTCACTGTAATGTCTGCACCTGTGGCCAATAAAATTTGATTTGATTTGATTTATTTAGAGTTGGATTTGAAACTTCTCCTGTTCACTCAATCTCCCATTTCTGTTCAGAATGATTTATGAGTTTTTGATTTATTTAATCCCTTTTCAGTTTGAAAATAGATATAAACGAACTAATCCAATAATTATCCTGGAGATACTTAAGTCACTCTCCACCCTCCATTATGTCAAAGAAGGTCAAGCATTTATGACATCTTATATGTGCAATTAGACGTCATAATTGTCAAGAATAACTTTTCATTATTTTATTGTTAATTTTCCATCTTAAAACGCATCAACACTATCACAGTTGAACAATTTCGACAAATCACAAATAGTAATATCCCACTGGACAGTGGGCACACTGGTTGTTTCCACTTCACTTCAATGAAATTATGGGTGCGTTCGTAAATTGCGTCCAGTGTGTCAGAGTGCGCTCTGGGTCATTCTTAAATTCAGAGAGTTTCGCTATCGGAGCGTTCAGAGCGCTCTGGCAGATGAGTAGGGTTCCGAGCGTTCTGACCTCACAACCGCAGTCAAGCACTCAAGCTAACTGGCTAAAGTCGCCTAGCTTGCTAGCTACTTCCAGACACAAATGAGCAACACAACTGCGAGAACACCTTACTCTGACCATTTTACTCACCCTAGCAGAGGTGGTTAGGCTTTTTTCATGTTATCTAGAGCGTTGGTGACTAACTGTGCTGCTGGAAACAATTTAATTACGTTTTTTTGCCGACGTTTATGGACACCGGTCATATTCAACGGGTGTTGCGTGTTCGTCAATTCATCAGTTATTCTGTGCTCTGGCACACTCCGACGAGGGTATTCAGAAATCGGAGTAGATAGCCAGAGTGAATTTACGAACGCATCATATGTTTAACCAACCTGGAATATACCTTGAATTGACGTCTGTGCCCAGTGGGCTAGCTGTTGAGAGTTGCCACAGTAATGGACTTTTGTGCATGTACATATTTGCTTGTTTTTGTCTCAGGACCAAGTCAATACATCAAGGTGGGGACTGTACACATTTCAAAATATCATAAACCTCTGGCCTGGACTGCATGTTGTTGTAGCTTCATCTAATCGAATCAATTTAAGGCCACAGGTTGGAAGTGTCTTCAGAAAATAAATCAGCATAATTTACTGTCTGTGGGATGTCACTTCACTACATTTCCCCCTGAATAAGAAATAGAGAGGTTTGAGGGTGTGCATTTTAGCATGAAGTGCATTTTAGTATATTTTTCATACATTTGATGTAAATGTCTAAACAGTGATAGGCCTAGTGTTAATCATAGTTGAATTAAGGGAGATGAAACTTAACAAATTACTCGTCAACTGCGTCATCATCAATGTCCATTGCTTTTGAGCATCAATTTTGCTGAACACAAGTGCCCTATGGAAGACGTATCTTGCTTACATCTCAACCACCTTAATTCTTTGTTCTATTTAAATGCAGTCCTGTTTTGTCACATCCATTCGTTGTGCTTTTCTGTGCTTGTGTGTAAAAATCGGTACATTTCATAAATTAAATAAGATATCATAGGACATTTATCATTTGCAGCACTCGCTCAGAAAAAAAGAAATACACATGTAGGCCTAACAACTTAAAATAATATGTTCTGAGATCATATTTTATGAATTGTATTAAATCATAAACAGGTTGCTTAACACTTTGACAGGTGCACAATTAATCCTTTCCAGTGTCAATTGGAAACACAGACGTTAGAAGATTACATCGACATTTCAGATCGTCAATCACCGTGTCTCATGTCATGGGGGAACCGCCTATCCGACTGTCATCTCGTTCAGTGGAAATTTTACAACACGAAAGCAGACTGGTTTGACCATCACTCCATGGGATTGAATATATTTCGTTGGGTTCGTAAAATAAAGTGGTTTCACCGGCAACGTGAATTACAGAAAGGTAAACCCAAGGTATAATTCCAGCAGGTGACGTATAGGTTGATGATGAGTAGTAGGCCTACTACTTGTTGTTTATGACTATGTGATAGGCCTAAACGACAATAACACCAATATTAATAATAGCTAATAATAATACATGTTTAACAATAATTACATTGATCAAATAAAGTAAATTAGCAGCCATTTTAAATAGGCCTACAACTTTTTTAACGTTTTGAATAATTTTCATTCATTGGATGTTTACTTAAAATAAATTGGTCGATTTTTTATGAGAACCTTAAAAACTACTGCTATTTTACTCCAAAATGATTAAAAAAATATATGCATAATATAGCACAAGTTACATTCTATTGAGTGGTTCATGTCATCATCCTGAAGGACATTGAGAGAAATGATCAATACGGCTCTGCAGCCAAACAAAATTGATGGCACGTCCCCAAGAAATTAGCCTGCAATATTGCATTTAGGACGTTTAGACATATTGCGCCTGTTGCAGGGAAATTAGTTCTCTACTCAGTTCCAGCGGTCTACAAAAATCATATGCAATTAAGTCTTGCAGGAATGTGATCTCCTCACTAATGATATCTAGTAATGGAGTCTATCGTCCAAGGGCTTTTAAGGAGAGAAATACTCTCCAAGGAATGGCTTCCTTTGATAAAATGATGAGTCACAAATGTGTTTCAAAGCAGTCCTAGCTGCATTTCAAGGCAGTGGTCATTTGGGCCGATTTAATTGAATGTATTTATTGCAATAAAAGAGACAGTGCACGTCCTCTTAAATTGCCTTTTCATAATGAACACATTTACCGAGGGTAATGAATATATAAACTCTCTCGATTTGTCACTTTGATTTGTATTTTAGTTAATTGTGAAAGTAATTACGGCGCAAATTAACAGCTTTCAGGAAAGACTGGGGTTTTAGGGTCCGCTTCCATCTTAGGGTGCCATATTAATTTTCCCTCCTGTTGACGTGATGAAAAGGGGCAATAAATCTCCGTGATTGGTGTTGGCCAATACGAAATGGCGTCATATTTCACTGGTGCTTTAATAGAAATATTAATGTGGCCCCTTAATGAAATTAAACCAGGGGAGGCGACAAAGCACAGATCAAACGGTGTGGCGCTGTTAAGATATAAAGAAAATGATCAAATCGAGGATTCAGAATGCACAGATGCTGTTCATAAATTCTAAGAAATCCCGAAAATTGAATTTCAAAACATTTTCTTAATGGCTCTCAAAGCTCATCATAAAAAAAGACAAATTAGTCCATGTTCGAAATGCATAAGGTGAACATTACCTGAGGCCTGAGCGAGATAAAAGCCATATCAAGATTACCCCATTAGCATTATTTGATTAGCTTTTAGGCTTGGGTTTAGGCGTTCTAGTGTTGTGGCGCACGTGGACTCCCATTGCAGAATGCCACATCAATCTCAGATGTAGCTATTATTCCGTAATCAGTCATGCTATCATCAAGGTTTCCAATTAAACGGTCATCCTTTACTTGGAACTACCCCGTGACTTGTTGATTTCCCCTGAGCAAATAAAGTCTGCACAGACTGCGCAGGTCCCAATAGAGTAGTTAGTTGATGAATTGACAAAAACTAATCAGCTTTATTGGGAGACAGGTTAAGGGCAACAGTAATAATTCTCATTTCGACCTCTTCCTCCATTAACTTTAAGTGGCTTATTAGACCAAAAGACAACCACCCCCAGAGCTATAGATATCTAGGCCTACATGGAACCTATGGCTCTAATAACTATTATATGCTTCATATTTATAGGACTAAGGATGCCATTTTCGTCTCATTTGATGACAGTTAGTGCGCTTTCAATGCCAAAATATGCCTTTGAATATTGAATATCTATGTACCGGTGTGTATACCGTGTCCCCAGTAGCTCAGTTGGTAGAGCATGGCGCTTGCAAAGCCATGGTTGTGGGTTCGTTTCCCACGGGGGGCCAGTATGAAAATGTATGCACTCACTAACTGTAAGTCGCTCTGGATAAGAGCGTCTGCTAAATATGTAAAATGTATGCAGAGACATCAATGAAGAGATCCAGGGGGCAGCACGTTCAAAATAGATATTGAAATGATGGTCTTACCCTAATTATAATGATTCCTAATTTAATACACTTTGAAAAGTCTAATATGTAATTTATTTTAGTAATTAAAGGAGTTCCAAAATAATATGGTAAATGTATTGCATTTAGTTTAAATATCCATTATTGGTTGCATTTTCCTTTCACCCCAAACACAATAAAAACCTTCCATTCACATATAAGAACTTTATTTTTGCAGGGTCACAGGAGGCTATATGCCCTCC